CCGGCTCCACCTGACAGCATCACACAATTCATAAAAAGTACTGTCATTCCAGCGTGTTCAATCCAGAGCTTTTCTGTAAAGTTTACTTGTTTTAGAGAACTACAATTTTCCCAAAAAGCGGCAGATGTAGCAGCTCCCAAATATAAGAAGCTGCTCCAATGCCTGAATAAGACACCGACGTCTCCTCTGATTGGCTGATTGTTGATGAACTATGTCTCAATTATCTTATGTAACTGTTTACATCCATCTCTGCCATGATTTTGAATAACTTGTCACGTGAACAAGCTTATTCACGTGTGATTTTAATTTAATTTCTTACTAATCGGAAACACAATTATGAAATTGTGTTTTTTCAACATAAGACACTTAAATGAGAAATGTACCTAAGTACTTTATATTTTACCCAGGACATACTATTTGACATCATTACGCCAAATAAAGAATATTAACACAGACGTCACACAACCAGTCGTCATTGCTTTTGTTTAAACCTTTTCTATAACGATTTCTAAAATCTTTTTTTCCAGGCGAATTTAAATCAAGACAAGAAGAAAATTGACAAAACGTTAAACGACTTTAGCGTCCGGTATGAGGAGATCCTGACCTGCCTTAAGTTCATCAACGAAGGCATGGACCTCCTGAAGCAGCACGGCGTGACTCTTCTCAACGAAACCATGATGGACTCGAAGGTGGCGGCCTGCGCGGTGCAGCTGGCCACCGGCGAGGCGAGCTCCATGGCCTCGGAGAAGAGCAGCAACGCTTCGGGGATGCTGAAAGGCTTCGCCATCGGCATGGACTTCTACTTCACCAAAGACAAGGACGGACAGAAGCTGAAGAAAGGCCTCGAGTCGAAACTCGCGCAAAAGCTCCGCAAACTTGTGGGAGACCTTGAAACTGGTCTGAACGAGCTAATGAAAATAAATGAGGTGTTCCGTAAGCACGTTGATTAACAGTCTTTTTTTCTTTTCTATTCGAATAAAAGTGCAGGTTGAGGTTTAACATTGGGATGAAAATAATGTTGAACCAGCTTTGAATGTTCGGACAAGACAAATATGATTATGAATTCTAAGAAACTGAGCTTTTATTTGCATTCCTTTGAGTTATTTTGTGATTTTTCCTGTGCTTTTACGAATTGTCTTTTTAATAAAGTCCGACAAAGATCAACAATCCCACTGAACTGAGTCCTGCTTAATTTCTTGGTGTGAATGATGCCTGTTGTAGTGACCACGACATTTGATCTGTCAGTCATAAAAACAGAGGGTGTGGTATCTATAATATGTTTTATTAACTGTTTATTAACCATAGGATTGCGCAAGATGAAATTGCAAAAATAAATTTTCTTAATGGAAACACGCCAATTTCGAAAAATTTATTGTTTTTCAGTAAGGAGAGTTTGCGCTGGGATCGCGTCTTTTTTTTTTTTTTTTTTTTTTTTTTTTTCTTTTTTAAAAAAAAACCTTTTTTTTTTT